AACTATCCGAAACGTCAGATCACAAATAAACCTCTCCCAGTGAACGCCCTTTTTCCCTCTGACGTAAAGATGCGTTAGCGGAGCGTCTGCATCTATTGAAAACTACAATTGCCTATGTACTAATTATCCATGTCTGATGCTGTCTCCAAATATGGGATCGAGTCGAAATCCAAAACGTTATGCAAACAAAGTTCGCGTCCCTACAATTTCGTCTACGTCTTCTCAAATACTTTCTTTAACTCGCATTTTTAACTGTAATAGCCTGGCTGCTGAAACCAGTTTGGCACATTGAGTTTTTGCCAACACGAGCGAACATGCGATTCCCAAGAAATAATTAAAAGAAGAAGACTCGATCGCTTGGACAACACTTTTATTCGCCTGGCATCCGTTGTGGAATCTTCATCAGAAACATGGACAGAAAGCAATAGCAGAAAGGGATAAGATACGCGCAGGAATTTGTAATATTATTGCAAACGTACAATTAACGATATTTGCCCTCTTGTGCGTCGATAGCTTGTTGACCGGCAGGCGAGCTCTGAATTGTTGAACTTCCATCACGCGTGGTGGAATTGGGCGTGATGATTGCTCGGCCATCCGGCTCTCCGGTGTTGCCGTCAGAAGACGCGCTGGCCTGTGCGCTCCCCAACTGGCTAACTAGAGCCTCCGCACCGAATATAGATTTGGCAAATCGTTGTACTTGTTTATGAATAAGGGGCCCGTGAACCATGACTCAAGTAATTCTCGGCTCACAAGATAGTCAGCTCTTGCGAGAAGTTCGGCCTCATAAAATTATGCAAATTTTTGTGCATATGGCACCCGTTTCTGTTATTGCTTTCTGCTACTGTATCTTATGAAGAATGCGAGATGGATGTCGAAACATCAAGCGAGTAAAATTGTTGTCCGAGCGATCGAATCTTCTTCTTCTTCTCAATATTGAGTTGTGTCCGAAGGCACCAGCGAGTAAGAGTCAAACAGAGTCACCGAAAATAGGCCTAGATGAATCGACATTTTGCTATGTGATGTACAGCCGAAGAAGGGTAGTTAGCGGCCAGTTTTCTCGGTCTCAGAAGGCGTCTATCTGCGCATCGAAATATCAGCTCCAATGTTAAGAGTTGAAATGGTGCGGTGGTTGTATCGAAAAATGCGGACAAATGCGATGTTTTTTTATAGATTGCCAACGTCCATGGAGAGTTTAGCCGCTTGTTTCACCAGTAGAATAAAAGACGCTAACCCATAGTTATGCTACGTTTCATTGTGTACTGAGTCTGTAGTAACAGTTTGACTGTGGCAAGCGACGTAGTGCCCGGGCGCTGCATTGATGAGTTAGATGTTGACACGTAGACAAGATGTTTGCTCTGTATCGCCCGTCTGGGCATGTTTATTGGTGTTTGGATAGCGGTGAGCAGTTAGTAAAAAAAACGTCAAATCAGATGAACAAACTCTTGGCCAAGCGACCGCATCTACTTCTTCCCAAGTATTTGCTGCGGCCACAGCAGTGATCCTGAACATTTTGGTCGAGTACGAATACCCTGATCATCTGCGTGTATTGAAAAGACTGTGGATCCGGATATTACAAGTTGCGTTACATGCACATACTTACTGAATAAACTAGGCAGACGTCATTTAGTAAATGAGATTTGGTCACAAACCACGCCAAAATGCGCCGATTACCTCAATCGCAACGAAGTAGATGATGAATTTTCAGCAAACGTGTTGGGAATAGGGCGACAAAGGCATCTACGTACAAATGAAACTGCTATCCCATTAGGTGGCTACCTCACTGGGGCTGGCATTAACCAACTGGAATACTTAAAGTGTATCATTCGGTTCTAAAACAGTGTCTAATTGTGATATGTCAGTATCGAATCATTTCATTTAGTGATGCCGCTTCTGACGTACAAAAACCTAGTCCACATCCACTACAAAACTTAACGAGTCCTAAATAGCGTAATACATGATGTTCATAGCACGAAAAGTTTACAACATGGAGTTTTACGTGCTAGGTGTGTGTGAAACTGGCGGTTGGGGAAAACCCCTGCAACAACGAGCGGTACGGTTTGTTAGAGTACTACATTAAAAAGAGACCTAATTCTCTGCCAAATGAGTACACTAAAGAACAGAGTGATAATATTTTATATAAAATATATTTGAGTGGGCGGCGTGGACATGTAGTGACCCAACTCCAAGCGCACGCTTAGCCTTTCGCTGCTCGCGCCT